ACTTTTATTTTTTAAGTCCACAAAGCAGCCCGATTGGTCTCCGCTCCCTCCTTTTGCTGTCTACTGTTCCAGTTCCATTTTTTCTAGGTGACCACTTCCTCCCACACGTAACTTCTTGAATCTGACCACGCGCACGGCTCTGTGACTTTCTTTGTCTATTTTTGCAATTCATTGTCGTTGTAAATGTGCCAATGGACCTCTTCAACACCAGTTTCCTCGCCGAGTCTGATCTTCTGGTCAACTTCTGTCAAATTCGCTCACTTTAAGCCAGCGCTGCGTTGTCCCTCTATGGTATCCACTCGTATTCTTACTGCAGTCTTTCCGATCTTCACCCTAGCTGACAAACAAATGAACAACCATCCGACTCCTATTTAAGCCTAGTGTGCCCCATTAAATTATAATCCCAAATGCTTTAGTGCAATTCCAGTCCATTTAAGAACAGTGAGCCCCCCCCCCCACTTCACCCCGATAGCTCAATTTTTAGCACGTAACAGCAGCAGGCAAATTCAGACAGTTACAGTCAGAAAAAAATTGAGATGAAAATATTACTAGCGTTTCGTCAGTAACTCAGTAAGCGGTTTAAAACGTCAAAGTCCGTGATGTATTAACTTCAATAATCACTTATGAGTAGAATTCAAATGAAGATCATCAATACAAGCCCACCTATGTTGATGGAAGGGAAGTTCACTGACGAATGACGGACTGCGTGGAGAAAACAGGTTACGGATCCATTCTGGTTACTTAAATGAGCGGTCTAGTCAAGTAACCGAACAGGCCAGGTACTCAGATCATATATGTAGATTGGAACTTCTTATCAGAGGAATTAATGGGTTACTGGACCCGAATAACATCATAAAGTGGATTTCGACAAAACACGTATAACGTATGGAGGCACAGTAGTTTCTTCCTTGCAATAACTGTTTCAGGCTATTTTACTGGTTTTTCTACTCGGGTGTACACCTCTTAATGGCTCCTCTTATACTTTTAGAGATTACAATACACACTTCTTGTAGGCTAGAGCAAGTGTGTCAGAAAAAAGTTTCTTTGTCAGTGCTTGACATGCACATACCCTTGTTTTAACTACGATATTTTGAGGACAAGGCTTCAGGTGACTTTTCATTCATGCCTCGATGTCTTTCTTAAGCATTTAGCAGGGTGCCGAGTGCCATTAACAAATATGTCTTCGTACTTATGGCCAGACTGTTGTTTGCAGTGCACAATTATAGATCGTCGGAGTTCATCCTTTAAGGACAAGGTATTACTAGCTTGAATCGATCTTTTAGTGGGAGTAAACTGTTCTGGGTTTCCATGCTGTCGATCGATTTGGAATACCTATCAGTGCCTGAACCCAACTGTCGCTGTCGAATTGAACGACACTGCCAGTAAAATGAAGCATAGAGGGGACACAAGGGCAGACTCATTTGGAACACCTCTCGTTGCTTTCGCATGTTCCTCACGATGAACTGTAAGCTGATGCCGAAAAATCAATGGTGCCTTTGTTTGCCGAGTTCATTCGGTTTGCACAGAAGGTGTTGCTGTGGAACACTGTTAAGGACCTTTTAAAGGTCAATGTGATCTACATTCAGGCAAAAGCCATAGTATGGTACTTTTGTGCCAGTTCTGTGTTAGGTCATCGGGTTCGGATGATAGGAGTTTTCTAGGATAAAACTGTGTTGAAGACCTTTACGCTTCTGACATTGCAAAATTATGAAATCATGTTATATGCATGAACTTTCATCACCCTACAACAGAGGGGAAGAATAGTGTGGAGCAGGGTTTATTTCATTAATAACCAAATATTACTAGCCAACAATGCTTTGTGTATCAGTGGTCAGAACGATAAGCGGAAGGAATTGGCATCAAATGAGGGCAGCATAAAAAATCCATATGAATGACAAGGTGAGAATAAGTCGCACTTTTCGTATACACGTCTCCTGACACGTCAGATATCGCGCCGGGGGTAGTGAGATTGGTAACCGACATGCAAGCTCACGGCAAGAAATATGATGGTAGTTACACCGGGTTGAACGGACAGACTTCGCAGCAATTAGACTAGAATGAAAGAGGGTGAGCAAGGTCCCCGACAATTCATTCGGCAAGATTTCCTCGTGCTGTAAAATGATGTCCTGCTGTGGTATCTACAATGACAGTTCGACCGTCGCATGCAACGATGTCCTCCGTGTGCTGGGCGGTTTGGAGGGCGCAGGAGAGTGGCCTTGGCGTGAATAAGTTTGCACTGATTTTAAAATCGCGCAACATTTGCCGTACTCTCTTCCCCGGGCTCAACGGCAAGACAGGGGCAGGAGGGTCGGAATGGGGCTCGGGGGCAGTGACTGGCAAAGCTTAAAAAACCGCCTACTTGCGCATCACACTTCATCTGCTTATCGTACACTGTACCAAGTTTTTCACAGAGAGGGGTGGGTCGAATCTCGCGTTTGTGAGGGCATCATAAAGTCCACATTAACAAAGAGGCACGGAGACTGATTCTCAGTCCTCGGGCCATTTAATCAGCATATGCTCAATATTCGCTACGAGGATCGAGTCACCTCGTCAATTGGCAGCCTTACGAGCCACGACTTCAACCTGTCAGATCAGACCAGATTTTGGTTACAACAAAATCATAAAAAACAATGTGTAAGGCAAATGCCAAAGAAAATTAGTTAAGTAATTACATACAACAAGCGTTGGTTACTGGTATAAATTTGTCTGTGAATGCCTTCGATGTCAAAATTGTACAATAACTAGTACGCGGTACTGAATGGACCAAGTAATATCGAAGCAACCGTATATGCTTCGGCCAGGAGATAAAGAAAAGTGATAAAATATAGGGAGTAGCATGTTTCTAAATATAAAACTCTGGGGATAGGTGTTACAGGGGAGAAATTTGTGAGTTTCTGATGCCGTGGAGGTACATATCCCTGTACTGGTCAAGCTTTCTCTTAAATGCATCCACGTACGAAGACATGACGACGTCCACAGTCCGAGCATTCCATGCCTTTACCACTCTGTAACTGAAGAAGGACCTCCTTGCGTCCAGTCTCGACCCTGTCACACGTAGTTTCAGAGGATGTTTTCTCAAGTTAGTAGTGGTGGCCAGCTCAAAGAAGTCGCCGTATGCGAGGCAGCAATCCTGACCCCGTAGCATTCGAAACGCTTAAATTAGGTCGCCACGTCGTTGTCTTTAGTCCAGGGCAAAGAGGTCAAGATTGGACAGATGGAAGCGCGTCAGATGTATTATAGTCTGACGTGTGCTGAAGTGCTGTGGGGATGGATTCCCCAGTCTTGACCTCAGTCTCTCATGCCTCAGTCCACCGTCCGAGTCTGTCGGCCATCTGGTACCGGGACTGGGAGCAATGACTGACAGCCCGTCTATGCGTGCCACAGACGACCTGGTCCCCTCGCAATGTATCGATTTTTCACAAAAAGGTGTGGTTTAGAACCTACGTGCGTAGGAGAGAGCATGCTCATGACAGGGAACATCATTTTTACAGTTCGAGAAGAGAGACAGAACAATAAGGGGATAATGAAGGCATTCATAAGTCAAGTGTACATTTCTAAAGCCGAGCTGCCCATAGAGATCTCTTTTGTGCAAACAAGCCCTAAGTTTAAAGACTTTCCCTCTAATTTGACGGCCCTGGCGGTTTAGAAGGAAACAAATAAGCGTCTGGCAGTGCAGAAAACATTTATTTTAAATCTACCTCATGTGCCGTATGGTCAAAAGAGCTTATTCAGTCTCATTTAACAAGGGGGAACTACGAAGCTGGCTAAAATATAGTCCAATCGGCTGGTTGTCCGGATGGCCCGATGGGCTCTGAAAGTGCATCTACGTCTCTCATTTGAGGCGAGTGACCACACAGTCTTCGCCACAACTAACTGAGTCTATTGTAAGGCCTGTTTAATCCAAGGAGCCAGTGATTTGTTCGCCCCATGGCGCGCCTCTTCTTTCGGATTCATCTTCTTATCCGACAGAGACAGAACGGTACGACAGAAAAAGATAGACAATTGGCTGGATTAATTCAGAATTATTGTCATACGATGCAACAATGACTGATTAGCAGAAGATTCGGGATAACGATCGTCCACCAATAACAACGATACAAAATCACTGAAGGCTGCTGGGGTGTGCACGTTGTAATCAGTCCGCCGGCCTCTCTGCTTCATAAGCTGAAAGTGGATTTTAAGCCCATATTATTTATTATGAGGAGGGTTTTGAAGAAATGTGATTTGCAGGCAAGGATGCCGCTTGTAACGCCTTGGCCAAAACTAAGATCCCAAACAGGCACGCTAGGATGGGGGTATGCGACGGTGTGTACGACGTTTCTCACAATTAAGTGAAGTAACTTGGATCCAGACGTCACAGTTTCGACTGGGAAGGAATGAGGAATGGATCTGCTTACTTGTCTTGAGGTCTGGACCAGGGCTTTAGAAGAGGGCTTTAGGGTCGATTTCGTGTACATCGATTTCCGCAAAGCATCCGACACCGTTACGCACCAACGCCTTCTTCACAAATTGGGCGCCACCGGCATCCGGGGGGATCTTCTAAAATGCATATGGGCGTTTCTGGTTGATCGGAAACAGTGTATCAGAGATGATATGTCAGACTGGGTGAAAGTGGCTAGTGGTGTGCCTCAAGGCTCAGTTCTCAGACCCTTACTTTTCACCTTTTATGTTAATGACAGCCTTCAAGAACTCGACTGCGGCAAAATAATGTTCGCCAACGACGTTGAGGTCTGGTAAATCATTAAGAGTCTGAATGACCAGAAATCCCTCCAAAACTGCAAATGTGGTCCGAGAAATGGCTTCTGGATTTCAATGTGCAGAAGTGTGCCATCCTTCATCAGCGTCCAACTAACTGCTATTCAAACGATGGCACGAGGGCATATCACTTGAGAGGCATTGCTCTTCCTGCAGAATCTTCACAGAAGGATCTCGGTGTTTGGATACAGAGCAACATGAAACCGGCACTGCAGTGCAAAAAGACTGCAAAAACGCCATGGGAGTGCTCCATGCAATCAAAGGGGCGTCCGCAAACTTTGACAAAGGTTTTTTTGGAAGATTTTACGGCGCCTTTGTCCGACCCCTTTTAGAATATGGCATACAAGCTTGGAGGCCATGGCCAGTAAAGGACCAGACACGCCTCGAAAGATTACAACGTTGTGAAACAAAGCTAATAAAGGAGTTAAAAAGCCAGTCTTACACAGAAAGACTGAACTGCCTTTATTTATTCCCTTTGTGTTATAAGCAGCAAAAAGATGATCTTATCCTGGTTCACAAGATAATGTATGACCTTGAGCTTGGAATTAGCTTTGAGGACATGTTTCAGTGGCACCTCTCGCCCATTCTTCGTGACCACTTGAGGCTGCGCACAAAAATGTCCAGGCTGAACCTCCGTTCTGGATTTTTCACACAAAAGGTAGTGGAGAAATGGAATGATCTCCCCCAATCGGTTGTGGAGGTGGGATACCTTCAGCTCTTCAAGAAACGCTTGGATGATTATTTGTGTCTCCTATTTTCCCTCGACAGCCTGAACATGATCTGAATACCACATCAACCTCAGAACGTTTGTCTTTTGAAACAGTGTTACTTAAATCACAAAAGTACTATTTAAATGACGACACATTTCATTATCCGTGTACAGCTGTGTATGACGTACTGGCATGTAATCAATAGGGCCTTGTCTATCATCCGCCCAAATAAACTGAAACTGAAACTGAGTTCGTATCTCTGCTGTGACAGGTGATGGACGTTCCGGCCATGTTTGGACAGCTGTCTGGAACTCTGGAGAGAATAGTTTGATTTTTTAAAATGAGAAGTGGAATACCGAATTGGGCCGAAGCGTCGTACAACGCTTCCGGAAGCAAATGATAAGAGTGCTGATCAACGACTGCCACTTACGCTTGCGCTAGTACCGAACTGTCATAGAAGAAAGAAGGGTGGAGTGCGCAGCATTGCTCGGCGAATCAGTTACTGAGTGTCTGGACCGAACAATATCAACCGTGGCACAAGCGAGACAGGAAGTGAAAGGCATGAATCTAGACCAAAAAGTCGTCAAAATGAAACCCGAAATCAATGCCAACGAAAATATGGTACACAACTTATCGTCGAAGCAGTTAAGCGAACCGGAACTCAGACTGTTGAGCCACGAAGCCAATTTTAACGCTGCTGATGCCACCCCAGCCGACTTCATTGCCGCACTTGAGGCCATGTTACTACGAACTAACACAACCGAAGAGGTTAAACACACGGTGCGTCAAAAGGTGACGTCTCTTCTGATGGCGATTAGACACGCTAGCAATATGTCACCCGCAGAAAAAGAAGCAATGAAGAGATTAAAAATGGATAACGTTATTATAGTGCTACCAGTCGACAAAGGAAGAGCGACCGTTGTGATGAAACGCGTTGATAACAACGAGAAGGCGCAAGCTCTCCTGGACGACCAACAGTTCTACAAGTCCGCACCCGCCTCGCAGGCCAAATCGATGATTGGCCAGCCGACTGGACTCATAAGCCGACTCCGGCGCAACAATGTAATCTCGCTTGACGAATTGCGCCAGACAAAACCAACTGACACGGCATTGGCCAGGTTCTAAGGACTACCAAATATCCACAAACCCAAAGTTCCTCTGCGGCCAATCGTTGCACTGAAAGGCAGCTCCACATACAGGTTAGCCAAATTGATGTTCCGAGAAACTCAATTTTCTCCGAGAGGGCTCTGTGACGTCAGTCAATTCGGCCTCCCAATTCCTTGCCGACATTCGGGGAAAAACTATTCGACCCGACCAAATCATGGTATCCTTCGACGTTGTCCCACTTTTCACTTCCATCCCACCAGACTTGGCGCGTGACGTGCTACGCAAACGCCTCGAAGAAAAGTACAACGAAAAGACAGGACCACTAAAGATCCAGCACCTAATGCAGCTGTTTGCATTCTGCCAATGAACCTTTTTCACCTTGGATGACAGAACATACGAACAAATCAAAGGAACACCCACGGGTTCCGCAATATCCAGCCTAGTTGCGGAATTGGTCCTGCGAGAGCTGGAAAAGGTTACTTTCAGCCACTACAAGTCTGTGATTTGACTCCGATACGTGGATGATACATTCGTTATTATTGAAAAGGACAAGCTATCGGGTTTTCAAGCTTTGCTTAACAGCATATTCCCCGACATTCCGTTAACAAGAGAAGACGAGGAGGACGAAAAACTACCCTTCCATGACGTCCTCGCAACGCGCACACCTGACGGTAAACTTAGGCATTACAGTGTACAGAAAGGCGACCAATACAACCCAGGTCCTCAACTATCATAGCAACCACCCATTGGTACACAAACGGGGCTGTGTGAAGGCGCTTTTTGACCGGGTAAAAACGCACTGTAACGAGCCCGAAGGAAGGATGCAAGAACTATGGTATCTCCGGGACCAATTAACAAAGAACGGCTACCCAAATAGTTTTATCAGTCGCTGTATACGCTCGCACCCACGACGGACAAACGCAAGAAAGACACCAACAATTTGGCACTCCCTACCGTACATAAAGAATGTGTCCTAGGCTACAGAATGCACTGCGTCAGAGCTAGACGTGGGCTTCGCTCATCACACGGCAGCTACCATGCGTAACAGGATCATGAAAATGAAGGATCGTCTGGACGCAGGTGAACAATCGGGCGTAGTCTATCAAATCCTGTGCCAAAACTGTCCTTGCCACTACACAGGCCAGACAGGACGACGTCTCAGCTCGCGACTACTTGAGCACAAACGGGCCGATCGAAGAGGCGACCCATTATCTCAAGTCGCCACTCACACGCTGGAGGAAGGCCACGAGTTCGACTTCACCAGCACGCGGATATTAGCTCAAGCTGACAACAAGACGGGGCGAGAGCTGTTGGAGGCGTGGGTGTAGGACACCAACTCCATCAATAGACACATCGATTTGCCTGCGTGTTATCACGCCCTCCGCCAACGCTGCCAAGTTGCGCAGCTCACATCAGCGTGAACTACAAACGGCGTCACCACGCCGGGGACCATCGTGGAACAGGCGGCACAAACCAGAACTAACCACGGACGTAGTCCCCCCCGCATGGAACTACGATATAAATGTTCACACGTTGCTGCACTCTAGCAGTCTCTGATGATGAACTCCAGTTCGAGTTCTAAAGCTCAGGCCAATAAACTAATGTCCCAGTGATCGTGCCTTCGTATTCTTTTAAACATGAACCTGGGATGCGCATATTCTCTTCCATAACTTGCAGTATTTGAAGATGCTGTGGTTGAATATACTCTCACTGTCGTCAGTCTTGCCAAGATCGACCTTCCGGGATTTCAAAAACTCTCTTACAATCAGTTGACTCATATGTCTAGTAGGATTTTCTAACTTCAGGCTAGATCAGCATGAATGGAATGACCTTCAGCAGGTGCTTCCCAGAACACGCGAAGCAAAAATACTTTTCCAACCTAAACCCAGTCTTGTGAATGCCTCAAATACGATAAAATGAGCCAACCTCATATTCCCTCGACAACAAGAAGCGATAAGTTGGGGCTTTAATGCTCGGTACTAATTAATAAATTATTTTATACCTCAGTTCTTGTTTAACTTGTGCGGGAGCAGGTTAATCGAAAGGAAGGCGATTTACGGAAGTACAACGATGACTTGATTTTCACTGATATTGCACGGTTCGCAATGGGTACATCCGTGCAGCAGTATTCTTAAGCAGGATCTTCTCTTAATCCTCCACCTTCAACTGACGTCCACACCACAGCACCACACGGCCCATGCAGTAACCGCTCCAGCGGAAGGCCGGTCAATCGAAGGTGTAGGTCAGGTGATCTATCGATTTTCCTCTGTTCCCACGGTCGCAACTCGACCCTGAGTGGCTAGAACATGCCGTTTTCTACCTCTACGACAAAAATACCCACTGGCGCCTCCCATGTTATAATGGCGCTGGAATTGTGATGATTGAGGCGCGTCCACTATGTTGGTCGCCAAAAAATCAATTCTGCAGTACGCCGTTTTAAGCCTTTTAAGCGTCACGGCAGTACTCTGTGGCAGATGTCTATTTCAAAAGCTCAGACAGAAGCCTTACTATCGTTTTTGCCCCCAAGGTTACACCACAGTGTCTTTGCGACAAAAGGCTTCTCTCTGTACTGTCACCTGTTACGGATATATCCGTACAATCTCTTACCGTAAGCATTTTCATCCGGCATCAGTCCGCCTTCAAAGGCATTCCAACAATTGTGTGTAAACTTGCGGTTCTTATTGAGCATCACTCCATATTTCGCGAAAAAAACGAATTTCCGGAATTCAGAGTACGTTTTCCGCGGGTACTACCCTTCCATTGATCCCTTTTTGGCAGTTATCTTAATCCACGACGAAAAACAACAAATTTTTATTGCTCCCGAAGACCCACGAGCCCCGCTCAAACGTTCCAAGACTTTACGGCACGCCATCATGTTATTTACAAATAATTAAAGTTAGAAAATCTACGTCGTTTATTGTCTAGTGAACTGTTATTGCTTGAAACATACCCATACAAGTGTTTCGTTTTAACGGTTGCCATCGCTGAGTCAAATTCTCCAGGCAAAGTCTGTTTCATGGAATTACTGAGGTCAAGTGTTAACAATTGCTAGGATTCGGGGACCCATTGCAGCTGTGTCACGCAAGGACAAAATAACGACGAAACAGATGTCTGGGTTTTAAGCTAGCGCCTGCGATGCCAGTATGGGAAATCACGCGACATGCGCCACCGCACTGCTAAAAGAAGGCCATTTATACTGTCAGTCTGGTTTGTAACTGACTGTCATTTTGTTTGTGCTGTTATACCAAGGCTCGCAAAAATGACGTACGGCAAATGAATAACTGTCACAATTTGGCACAAAAAATTCTGAAAAATCTCCAAAACCTGAACAAAAAGCTTCCTTTTAATTCATTTAGTTGCGTTTACGCGCCTGCGTTTTCCGGTGATTTACGTCCAAAACGAGGAGTTATCTGCAAATTAAATTATAACTGTTGAAAATTAATTTAAACACACTTTGTGCAGAAGAAGTCAGTAATATTTGAATGAAACGTCAAGGTATGTGCTAAAGTAGCACACTAAAAGTCATCTAAAGTTTGTTGTGCTTCGGTTCACATGACTAGTTTACTTGGTTAACAGTACATTCAATGAAAGCGGTAGACTTAAACGCGTGAAAAACATAGTGCGATTTGTCTGCATTCAATCTAAAAGGAGAGACCTCATGATAATCTGGATAAGGGTTATAGGTAGTATTCAGCGTGCATTTTGTCAGACAACGAAGCCTCGATTCTACTGCTGCTAAAGGATAAACACTTTCATGAAATCCCACTATTGCTTAGACACTCAGAGATGATGTCTGCTCGGGTTTGAAGGTACTTTCGATAAAAATAATCTGCTTCTAATTACTCAAGCTTTCACTCGTCAGGATTTTGTTATGTTAAATAGTTTTGTGGGTGGGACAGGGGAATTGGCACCCACCTCCGGTATTACAGATAGCCTCGCGCTAAATTCGAGGGGGTTAGGGTCAGTGTTAGGATTATGATCAGATTAGGGTATGAACACGGGAATAGGTGTTACCTGGGGCTTGGCGTAAAACCACCAGTCCTACGTAGGGGGGGGGGGAGAGGAGAGGCCACCAACTTCTGTCTTTTACCATCCTCTGCTTAACTTAGCAGCTGACTTCAGGCCGACTATATCTTCTACCGGTCGTTATTTAGTCTAAAAAATGGAGTCTTTTGTGTTATTTCTGAACTTCGTCCTCTTCAAAAAATTAACGCTACAGACGTTTTCTGCGTTGACAGGGAAATGTGGCAGATGAGAGCCTCCTTTGGGGCAATATAAGGGGCTTATGTGGGCGGACAATCTATGCTGTCGAGAGTAGAATTAGAAAGAACTAAGTAACCGCAAGAATGCAGCGTGACCATTACTGTTTACTGTAAGGTGTAAAAGTTTCTTGGCGCATTAAAAGAAAACGCTTTTTGTGTCACTACAGCACACTGATCTATTGGCTTCCAGAAGCAAACAAGCTCTGCAAGGGTGGCAAAGGTCATGAACAGGCAACTGACTACCGGGCCGAAGTCGACCTCTGACAGGCTGCTTTGTGGCAACCATCCGTCCGTTCCTTCCTTTCTGAGTGTGAACGCGGAATTTGTGACCCACACTCCATCTTGCGATGACTCTATCCGGTGATGGTCTGGTTTATCCGAAAGTACTCACTTAGAATGGTAATATTTCCGTGCGCCGGGTAATGGTGTTTGCACCCAAAGGCCACGACCCTTACAGCAGTCGGGCTACTTTCCTAAGGCCCCTGATAGCGGTCCGTCTTCTGTCGAAGTCGTAGGTGTCCCACTGCGACCCTTTAATCCTGTACTCGTGTAACTAATTTACGGCCTGTTTTTCTCGCGTTACTGTCGTAGCAAATTCCATATTCTGACCGTCTGCTCAGTGTAACAGTCGGAATCAGTTATGTGTACCCTTCCACAGCACGGACAGCGCCGCAGCTCCACCTGCGGGAATGGTGATAACCGGGGGCTTTACGGGCGGACTGTTTGGGAGAAGGAACGTGGAGTTCTTAAATATAT